CTTTTCCTTGGGAAACCACGTTGTATCCCAGTAAAATTGATGTTGCTTGGAAGCTTTTCCTTGGGAAACCACATTGTATCCCAATAAAACTGATGTTGCTTGGAAGCTTTTCCTTGGGAATTCGCAGGGAAAAGGAGGCTCTGGAATGTGCTCCAAGCTCTCCCGGGATCCTTCCCTTCTCCAGCCTGGCCATTCCCAGCTCTCCCAGCCTGGATCCAGAGCCTGCCATTGGATCCATCCCCAGCCCAGCTCCTCCCTGGGAAGGAGTTCAGGGAACAAGGGGGTTCCCTGGGAATCTCGGCACTCAGGGAAGGGTCTCCCTTCCCCTTTCCTGCCTTTTCATCCCCACATTCCAGAAAAATCCCTCTGGCTGGATTCTGAGTGTCCTTTATCCCAGAATCCCAGACTGGTTTGAGTGGGAAGGGACTTTAAATCCCATCCCATTCCATGTTCAGGGACACCTCCCACTATCCCAGGTGGCTCCAGCCTGGCCTTGGACACTCCCAGGGATCCAGGGGCAGCCACAGCTTCTCTGGGAATTCCAGCTCGTGCCGGGGCCTCGATTTTCCCACGATTAGAACCAAACTGGAACAAAGGAGGGAAGGATTATAAATCCAAGTGGGATCTGCAGGAGCTGGGAACCGTCGGAGCTGGGCTGTGCTTCGGAGCAGGGGCCTCTGGAAAAGGGCTTTGGATGTGAAATCCCACAGAACCAACCGGCTGAGGCGGGGAAGGGACAAAGGGAGCGGGCAGTGAGGTCAGTAAATCCCAAACCCCTTCTATCCCGGCTGGAAAAGGGCTGGAAGGAGCCCAAAGACGTCGCCGTGACCCGAGGTCCGAGCGGTGCCGTTTTCCCTCCGCTTCGGTTTTCCAACCCCCCGGACTCCTCATTCCCACGACGGAGCCGACGGGCACAGCTGGATTGGGATCGCTCTGCCTCTTCAAACCGGGCTCCTGCCTCTCTCCAGTCAATTTTCCCCTTTTCCTGCAGCTTCCAGAGCCCCTGGAGAGCCGCTGTGCCGCAGGGAAGGCAGGAGGCGGCTCCTGCTGCCGCCTCCGAAGCAAAATCCCGGCTGGCAAACGGGGATGGATCCTTGGGAACAGGTTAAATCCCACCACCCTGCACTGCTGAGGGTACCTGACCTCACCTGAGAGCCTGTTTCCTTAGGAATTTCTGGGATACTTGCCTTTTTCCCCCCTCTTTATGTCTCTTTTTTTTCCTCCCGGTTCACTTTTTATGTGAGGAAAGAGCTGCCGGAATTTTGGGAAGCAACGGAGCTAATCCTGGCTCGGAGTTGGCAGGTAGATGAAGGGTGTCCTTTCCATGTGGGAATTGTTCCCAATATCCCACCTGAGCCTGCCCTGGCCCAGCTGGAGGCCGTTCCCTCTCCTCCTGTCCCTTGTTCCCTGGGAATTGGGGACCTTCCACCTCCTAAAACTTCCTTCCAGGGAATTGTGGAGAGCTGGGACAGTGCCAGGATGGCACAGAATCCTTAGGGATGGTTAAGGCTGGAAAATCCCTCTGGGATCACGGAGTCCAACCACCCCCAGCACTGCCAAGGCCACCCCTGACCCGTGTCCCCAAGGGCCACATCCACAGGGATTTGAAATCCCTCCGGGAATGGCGACTCCAGCCCTGCCCTGGGAAGTTCATTCCAGTGCCTGACAGCCCTTTCCATGTGGGAATCATTCCCAATATCCCACTTGGCACAACTGGAGAGCAGTGGGGTTCTGCCAGCAGCTCCCCTGGGGCAGAGCTGGAATTCTTCCCATGGTTTGGGGAAGCAAAATCCTGCAGGACTCTTCTTCCTCCCTCGTCACCGTTTCAAGGCCCAGCACGGAAATTCGGGATCTTCCCAGCCCCAGGTTTCATTTCCAGAGGCCTGGGATCGGCCACAGCTCTGGATCCTGTTGGGTTTTAGGGGCAAGTCGTGTTTCCTTGGCTTTGTCCATGTTTTGAGCGGTTGGAAAAGGTCCTGTGGGAATAAATGACCTTGTTCCACCATGAGGAGGAGGAGGAGGAGGAAAAGGAGGAGCTGCCCTGAGAGCCTTCCCTCTGGAATTCCTCCTCCTGGTTTAAATCCGACCCTCTGGTTTGGGAATCGACAGCTGGGCTGTGCTTTTCCCTCCCCAGCCTTTCCCCCAGTATTCCATAATAACTTTATTCCCATTATTTTGCCCTCTCCAGCAGGGACAGGGGGATGCCGTGAGCGCCTTCCCCCTGGAATTCCTCCTGCTGTTAATCCCATCTCCAAGGCATTGGAAAAGCTTCTGGAATGTTCTTCCCACGAGCCATGGCTGGATTCCAGCCCTATCTTTGGTTGGAATGCCGTAAAAAAGAGGTGGAGCAGGTCAGAGATCCCAAACTTCCCGTCTGGGAAAGGCACCGTGGGCAGCTGCTTCCCAAATCCTGGAATCCCGGATGTCCAAGGGCTCCCGCCCGCCCTGGGGATCCTGGGCCGGGAGTGGGGAGGAAGAAGGTGCTGGAAGGAGCTTTGATTTGATCATTCCCAAGGGAATTCTTGGAAAAGGCAACTTGGCCCCCTTTTCCCGAGCAGGACCAGGAGGAGAATCCGGGGATCCAGAGGGATGTGATGGGGATCAAATCCTCCCCAAAGCCCAGCCCTGCTGTTGGATGAAGGGGAGAGAGGTGGGAACAGCCAGGAAAGATCCTCCATGGGCAGAATCCCGCTGGGATGAGAGAGAAGACATTCCAGTATCCCCATCCTGATCCAATTGGAGAGAGCTCCGAGTCCCTTCCAACCTCTGTTATTCCAGGAAACTCAGCTTAAGTTTTAATCCCAGCTCTTACCCAGCAAAGGTCTCAGCTCCCAGTCCTCGTGGTCTCCCGGGAAAAGGATCAAACTTGGGAATTCTTGGGATGGACAGAAGGAGGGGAAAAAAAAACAAATGGCACAAACAACAGAGCCCAGGGAAAGAATTTTATTGGGATTGCAGGAAAAAAACCCCCACGGGATTTTAATGGCAGGAAAAGCCCCTCCAACAGCATCCCAAAGGAGGTGGTTCCAGACACCTGGAACATTCCCGACCTCTCTGGGGGAAAAACGAGCTGCCCCGCCCCCAATCCATGGAATCAGGGAATATCCGGAGCTGGAAGGGACCCACCAGGATCTCCAAGTCCAATCCCATCTTATTGCTGGAAGCAAATCCTTGGCATTGGCAGCTTTGGTGTTTGGCTCGGGGCTGATTCCCGGGATAGGCGTCGTCTCCCGCTCCTCCTCCCGGATCCGCCGGAGCGTCATTCCAACCTTTTCACCATGTAGGGCCCTTCCAGCTCGTAGCCGATCTTCCTGTAGTAATTCCTCGTGCCGACACCTGGGAGAAGAGAGGGACAACACGGATGAATCCCGTGGGATAGCAAAAGGACTGGAGGAGCTGGAGCTTCCAAGCGGGAATGGCGCTGGAAGGCGCAGCCGGCGGGAGCCGGAGCGGGGGCGGACTAATTAGGGCGCTAATTGGGGTGATTTTCCGGCAGGAACAGCCGCTCCTTTGTCTGGAGAAGGAGAGGGAACGCGGATCCAGGATCCAACAAAACCCCTGGCACAGCTGTGGGATCGTTGCCGGGAGCTGAAGGGCCCGACAGCCCCCGGAGCCACTTCCAAGGGCTCCCGGGAAAGTGGGATCCAATTTCCTCATCCCGCTCTCCCGAGGCCTCTTCCCTCTCCTGCTGCCGCCAGGAGACCCCGCGGAGGGCGCAGGATCCCGCAGTTCCCGGGATTCTGGGGTATGGCAGCAGGATTTGGGGTAAAACAGTAGGATTTTGGGATAAAACTGGAATTTGGGGCAAAACAGCAGGATTTTAGGGTAAACCAGCAGGATTTTGGGGGTAAAGCAGCAGGATTTGGGGGTAAAACACCAGGATTTTAGGGTAAAGCAGCAGGATTTTGGGGTAAAAATGGGATTTTAGGGTAAACCAGCAGGATTTGGGGTAAAACTGAGATATGGGGCAAAAGAGCTGGATTTTGGAGTAGAGCAGCAGGATTTGGGGTAAAACTGAGATATGGGGCAAAAGAGCTGG